AATATTTGAAGACAGGTACAATTATTTGAAGATAGGTACAATTATTTGAAGATAGGCACATGTACAATTATTTGAAGATAGGTACAATTATTTGAAGATAGGTACAATTGTTTGAAGATAGGTACAATTATTTGAAGATAGGTACAAGTATTTGAAGATAGGTACAATTATTTGAAGACAGGTACAATTATTTGAAGATAGGTACAATTATTTGAAGATAGGTACATGTACAATTATTTGAAGATAGGTACAATTATTTGAAGATAGGTACAATTGTTTGAAGATAGGTACAATTGTTTGAAGATAGGTACAATATTCGAAGATAGGTACAATTATTTGAAGATAGGTATATGTACAATTATTTGAAGATAGGTACAATTATTTGAAGATAGGTACAATTATTTGAAGATAGGTACAATTGTTTGAAGATAGGTACAATTATTTGAAGATAGGTTCAAATATTTGAATAAACATGTATGTTAATTTGGTGTTCCATAAGTTACAACGATAAAATATTGGATGTGAATATTTTTACTTTAAAGCTAGCTATAAAATTCACTTTTTATTTCCCCTTTTGCGTTATTTTTAGTTTTAAAATGCAGTTTAGAAAAAAATGTAGCTAATTCCAAATCACATAGCAAATACATTTATGAAATAATTAAATCCCAATTTAATTACAATCATCATTTTTTATCTGATTTCATCTATTATGGTGAACAACGCGCTAGCGCGTTAATGACAACGAGTTGTGGGTTAGCGCGAAGTCATCTTATGAACAACGCGCTAGCGCGTTGTCATTAACGCGTTATCATTTACGCGCTAGCGCGTTGATATTAAGCAGAGCTAGTTACTACGGACTCTGAAAAGATCAGAGTGCCGTGGAGAGGGAAGCATCCCTGCCCAACAAGCATACATACACGCGTTGACATTAAAGAGCTTGCATGTTGATAAAATACAACACGCAAGCGCGTTAATGTCAACGCGCTAGCGCGTTGTTCACAAGACGACTTCGCGCTAACACACAATTCGTTGTCATTAATGCGCTAGCTCATTGGTTTGCGTATTGTTTCTAACGCGCTAATACACTTTTACAATGGCAAAAACAATTCATTGTTGTTACTAATACCATGGCTTACCTCCATTGATAATATCCTTTCTGTATATAAACAAATGTACCACAGTTACCGATTCCACAATGGAATAAATAGTCAACACCATGTAACACCAGTTGGTCAGCTCAGAGAACCATTCTGACGGTAAATCCTCCGGATTGTAGTACGGCTGTAGAGCGAGGGTTGTGATATGCAGAAGACTCTATAGAACTGGTCAGACTATCAAGAGTTTAGGAGTCCCCCACTGAATTTTTTTTTTTTGCTTTTTACGCACAAAAATTGAAAGTCTATTTAATCAAAAATAAATATATTACTTCAAAGAAGGTTCAAGCTCATAGTCGTCGGAAGCAAATTGAAAGTGGGGGAGGGGGGGGGGCTAATTGAAAGTGGGGGGCTAAACCAAAAAAGGCAAACTCCAACTTTCAATACATAGAAATTGTCTAACTTTGCAAAAAAGTGGTGGGGGGCTAAGCCCCCACCCCACCCCATCCTTTAGCCCGCACCCCCACCCCCGGTTCCAACGCCTATGAAGCTAGTGGCATAGACAAAGTTTCAGCTCAAATTTCAAATTTATTTTTCCATTTTTACAAATATTTAACTACGGTCTTTAACTTATATTTCACTAGTGATCATCAACAATTTGAACTTCAATTGTCGATCTAGATACAAGACAGTTTTAGAACTCCAAACCTTTGTTATGTAATCAGGGTCCGTGTTATCTTTTGTTTACATAGATTAATATACTAATATATATATATGTTCGTGCAAAGCAGATAATTTCAATACAGAAGTTAATTCTGAATACAATTTCACAATTTCTAGAGATTTGCTGAATTTTATTTTGTTATAAATATTTTCTATATGTAAACAAAAACAAGGCACGATTCCTGTTTACATTTTGAAGAACTTTTAAAGTTCTGTATGTAAATACAAGGAATAACTGTCTGGGTTTTTGGTTTTATGATGATGATCAAACAATTTACTCGCATGATAATTTACGCATAAACACTGATTAAATCATGCGAGTAACGTGTACCGGTGTAACGTTGAATATTGACCCGAGTTGATAGTTGACCCGAGGTTCATTTTCCAACGTTGAATATTGAACTGGGGGTGTTTTTTCACCGTTGAAAATTGAGACCAAAAGACGTTGAATTTATACCCGGGGTCATTTTTCAACAGCTTGACAATTTTTTGTATCCCTGATGACCTCAACAAGTTGAAAATTGACCCTGTTGAATATTGACCTCGCCTCAGAGTTTGAACATTTTTTAGGTGGGAATTTGTTTTACAGGATTTATCAGTATCTCTATATTTTTTGATATTTCGGTTTCAATTTTTTTCTCTTGTCAAGAATAATAGAAATAAACCTAACACCCCGTGTATATATGTACATTTTGATCTGTGTACGATTTCAGTTATCTTCAGGCATGGCAACTTTTTTTGACAATACCTTCTCAAATCGACAGCATCCATAAATAACTACAAAACTATGAATAGGACAAAAACAAAATTCTGGAAATCTGGTGTCTTTAAATAAGGTTGGTGAAATCCCTGTAACTAATTTATCTGTCAGTATAGCCAGTCTCGGTTTAAAATTGATCGTTTTCGGAGCATAACCCTGAAAATGAGATTATTCTTATTCTAAAACATATCATTCTTATTCGATACAATGTGATTCCTATTCGATTAGTTGTTATTTCTATTCGATTATTTGTAATTTGTATTCGACAAATTGCTATTCCCATTGGAGGAAATGTTACAATATGATTCATATATCATAAAATATCATTTTTTTTCTCGAAAACACGCAGTTCCTATTCAATGTCATTCATTTTTGAAAACATGCGATTCCTTTTCGCTGATTTTGTCATCCCTATTCGATAATTTTATCATTCTTATTCGATAATTATTTGGTTTATATGCAATAAAGTTGTTGTTCGAAAATACACTAGCATCCAGCATTCTAGCATGCGATATTTTTCTTATTCTTTTTCAATAGTTGCATTCTGAGAAATATGGCAAAACTAGAACTGGTTGTAAACTCAATTAGGAATGTCATGTTTAACATTATTATCGAATACAAATCATTTTATCATCGAATAGAAATGACAAAATTATCGAATAGGAATTACAATTTTTCGAATAGAATAACAACTTGAAGGTAATGAATTCTCGAACAGAAATAACATTTTTTTTTGCACAAGACTAACAACAAATCGAAAAGGAATCATATTATACCGATCAGGTACATTATTTAGAAAAAGAAACTAAAATTTTTGATAACACAAAAGTATACTGTAATATTGCAACGCTTTATACGTTATACCATAAACAGGTAATAGTGGAGCATAACTTTACAAATAAGAAAAGTTCACTTTGGAAAAGATTAAGAAGAAATCATTTTTTTCTGATACAGTATATATCGGTAATTTCAGTTGGCCTTCATCTCCAACAGTCAGTAAAATTTCCAAACATGAAACAGTTGTGGCACATTCAGTGGTGACTTTAATTTAAAATTCACTCGGATACACAAGGTATATCGAGTCGACATAAGAACTAAAGTAACTACTGTTACTTGATCATACGTCATCGGTGTATCTAAATGTTGAGTTGAACCCCACAGCAAGTGTTGTTTTCTTGTCATGTAAAGTTTTTAAAAATATATCCTGATTCTGCTCCCTGTTCCCGACGCCTATGTATGGGTACGTTTTGGTTTTTACTACCAAAAAGTGATATTACCTGTATGAATTTATAAATATTGCCCGTTGATGAGATCGACCCATAGATATATCGACTTCACAGAAAAGCATATCGACCGAGCACGAACGAAAAAAAGGCTACATTTGTTATGTTATTTTGTACATAGATTAACAAAACAAAATTTGAAAATAATGGGATGAAGGCACCTGTTTTCTCTCTTTAAGACTTAGAAACTAGAGATCAACGTAAATTAAGCTGTTTAATATTAAAAATATGTTTCCTTTTATATATTGAGGGAGTAATTAAAGGATTTACTTATTCAGAATACTAATTTATTTATTTGATTATGTCTTGTATCAATTTTTGACAAACATATCCAATATGTTTTAATACATAAAGTACATAAAGATCATAATTCAAGCCTTCAAGGCATTGTTACGTCTCATCAATTTTTAAATATTAATACAAGTTGTAGTAAATATTTTTTTTCAGAAACATCAAGTCATACTCTGCATTATCTTTAATTGTTAAATCAGTGCTTTTTCCGTTTTACAGAAAATTATCTCCACTTAAAGAAACATCAAGTCGAAATGCATTTCAGATTCTATAAATAGCAACTCAAGTCTTTGTGCTGTTATATACTTAATCATGTGATCGAGTTTGAACCAATCAGAGAGCTTGGAATAAATGATTAAAATAATATTGGGTTATATCACTTATTCGAATATTTTTGGTATATACTGCCATTTTTAATAGGTGATATCACTTATTCGAAAAAAGTGATATCACCTATTCAATTGGTGATATCACCTATTTAAAATCTGAATAGGTGATATCACTTATTCGGATAGGTGATATCACCTATTCAATAAGGTAATATTACTTATGGCAGTAAATACCAAAACGGCACTTTATACCTATGAATTAAATCACAGATGTGAAAACCTAGTAAAAAAAATGTGTTTTTATGCTGTTGAATTTTGAACCGGTTTCATGATAAAAATTCCACGAAGCGGCTCAGTATTCAACGGATTAGGGTTTAAATTCAACACCTTTGGTCTCAGTATTCAACGTTGAAAAATGTCCCCGGGTCAATTTTCAAACAGGGTCAATATTCTACGTTAAAATGAGTGAAAAAGATGTTCGAAATATTGTATTGTTATGAAAATGACAACTCTTCATATTTTTTAATTGTTTGCTTTACATCATAAATATAACTACAAAGTCCAGAAATTCAAAATAAAATGATAAGCCATGAAAAGTAAACTGCTTCAATAAAATTTTAATTCATATTACTTATTAAATTCACTGATTGTACAAAGACAATCATACAGTTTTTGAAGTTAATCTTGCATTTTAATTTTTTTTTCAAGGCTGCAGTTATAGATCTTTTTTTATCAATCAGTCTACATACTTTCCTTCAGGTACAATATTTAAAAACAATTCTTTAAATAAGTAGTCTAAAGTGGATTTATGATATATTATACATGTAATTCCCAAATATTTTGTTTTCATTAACAACAGATTGAACAGAATTTGGAAAATAAATCATTATCACTAGAGCAGAAAGTATCAATAGCTGACACTGCGATTGCAAGTTTAATAATTTTATGCCATGGAGTAAATTCAATTTTTTTCTCTGTAAAAACCCTTTACAAATAATCAAGTATAATGAAACTTTATTTGAAGCTATAGATTTATTACATGAAAATATTTTTTACATGTAAGTATAATATGAAATACAGTGTACAAACTTGCTTTATTAATCATCAGCGGGTGAATATAAAGTCACATAAATATTGATACTATTTGTCCTAATTCTATTATAAAGTTCAGTATGTAAGTCAACAGAGTCAAACACAAATTAATATACATGTAGTTAAATAGTTAGATAATTTTTTTTACTGCGGGTAAGTGAACACTGTATGATTATCAATACGGTGAGGGAGAATAGGATTTTTCTGATCCCACCAAGCTGCTCCAATTATTCAGTACCATTTGTTTTCATCATTTTTGAACAATCTGCTTACCAAGCTTTTGATTAGAGAGAACTGGGATAAAGGATTTTTCTTTTTCCACCAGACTCCTTCAATTTGGAAAAAAAAATTTCCATTTGTCTTCTTCATTGTTGAACAATGTTCATTCCAAGCTCTATACCAATTTTACTCACTGCGTCTCTCAATATTTTATGATTTTGAGCAGAGGCAGAAGTGGCAGTCGGGACAGGCAATGGCGTACTGCTTTGAGCTGTCTGTTTCTTCTTTTTCCCTGGCATTTTTACTGGGGTAGATGGTGGCCTAAACGTAATAGGTTCCTCTTGAATAGTTGTAGATACAATGGTTCCAAAAGTTTTCATGTCTTGGTCCAATTCCGCTGGAAAAAAAGCTGCAGGTGTAATTTTGAACGAACTTGGAAGATTTTCGTAGGTATCAAGCGAGAACGGCGATTCTTTTCTGAACAGGACCACTGCTAAATCTTTAGCATCCAGCTCATCCTGACATTTTTTACGCAAGGTTTCTAGTTTTTTGATTTCTTTGGCAAACTCGCCATTTCTTGAAACAATATTCTTTTTTGTTTCTTTAGTACTTGCTTTCAAGTCTTCTGCTTTCTTTAGAATGGTTGATCGCACCTTGTCAGCGAAATCTTTAACTTCCTTCACCACGCTTTCTGAAGCTTGTTCCATCTTTTCTAGATCTTCGACCATTTGTTGCTTTGCTTCCTCCCTTTGTTGGATATGACTCTGGATGAGATCTAAATCACTTTCTATCATAGCTCTTTTCTTCCCGAAAAAATCGGTTATATCTCCAATTCTATGTCCAGTATGGGCAGCTGTCAGACACTGCGAACATATTGCTTGATTGCAATCCTGACAGCATAAATCCACTGTGTTAGTTTTATGTTTAGGACAAGCAGCTTTCTCCATTCCCATCATTAAAACGGAAGCAGCTTTCCGTTTCACACCTTTTTTCGTTGGTGTACTGGGTGCATTTGATGAAGTAGATGGCACATTATGAGATGTTGGAGCATTTGTTGAAGTAGATGGCACATTATGAGATGTTGGAGCATTTGATGAAGTCGATGAAGCATAATCACGTGTTGGGGCATTTGTTGCAGTCGATAAAAGATCAGCCGTAGTTGTACATGTGGTGGTGGGGGTACTATCAAGGTGATCTAATGGTGTTGACAGTTCCACCTTATTACAAAAATAAAAAAAGAAACAATAAAATTATACAAACATGTACATGTAATATATATTTGTCAGTCGAATATATTTTCAGTATTATCTTTTACACTAAAGGAAAAACTTATATGAAGAAATTTTTTGTTAAAGATACTGAAAACAAACACACCTTATTGAATGATGTACTCAAAGGTATCTTGAGGTTATACGTGATTTTTTTTTTTACATTTCCTTTTATTTTACATTTTCACGATAAAAAAATAAAGCAATTTAGTATATATATCTTAACTGGCAATACAAATTAATTAACGTTTGAAAATGATTTTAGCCTAGTAATAATAATAGTAATTTTCAATCGCAAATATCCGTTCATGAATTAACATACTTTGATTGAAGACGTCTCCATTTCATCTGAAAAAGTTAAGGGCACCAAATTATGATTTTTGAAGGCATTCCCTTTGCTGTGAAGTCCGGAACAATTTTCACATAAGTTCCCACATTGTTTGCAGTGCGAATGGAGAATACTTAAAACAGCACATACCCCACATTTAAGTCGAGGAGAGTATATAGAAGACATCACTTTCCTAATCATATAAAAAAGACAAAGGCAAATGTGAATTCAATGTTAATAAAGAAATCATGATTTAAGTTAACAATAATGAGTACTAGTTTTATGCAAATTAATGTTTCTGATAAATAAATATTTTTTCTGCAAATCAAAAAAATCTCTCTCTTTGGGTGACCTTTATATGGGACAACAGGTTCAATTAGCATGCTCACAAAACTGACTTACCCATTCCATTTTACTATATGTTTCATTGTTTAATCTCAGGTTTTAATGTATGTACATATACGGGCTATATTAATATAAATTTTTTTCTCCTAATGACCTTTACTAAAAATCATGACCTTGAGCCAAGGTTTCTACATCATATGAAAGAAAGTCCTTTTTTCCTAAGCTTCTAATATTTTTTTTCCTGGAGAGAAAAAGGACAGGAATACTATTTAACAAGTTTTCTTGAACCTGACTAGAAAAAAGCAGAAAAATTAATTAGTTCAGTATTTTAAAAGAGAAAATGTGAACAATTACAACATTGCTGTTCTTGAAAAGATATTTACAGATTCTCCTTATGTACAACCTTAAGTCCCGGAGGGCATGATTTAAACCACCTTATTACACTACCTAAGATTGCTTTTATATTAATATGACTAATCCTAGCTCTTATGTTCTTTACAAGAAGATTTCAAAAGATTTTCCCAGTGTATCCCTATGTAAGACTTTTATCCCCCTTTGTGATCCCGTCCTCCCTCCGGGGGTCATGATTTGAACAAACTTGAATTTACACTACCTAAGGATGCTTTCATAAATACATGTATCACGAATCATGGCTTTGCTATTCTTGAGATGAAGACCAACTTCAGGGGGTCATGATTTGAACAAACTTTTATTTACACTACCTGAGGATGCTTCGATATACATTGGCGTCGGAAGCAAATTGAAAGGGGGGGGGGCTAAGTGTAAAAAAAAAATTGTACCTCCAAAAAAACCTGACAAGCAAAAAAAAAAAAGGAAATGTCTATTTCCCGAACACGAAAATCCTATGGAAAGTTGGGGGGGGGGTAAACTTACGAAGATATGTTCAATGTCTATACTAAGAATAAATTTTTAAAAAAGTGGGGGCTAAGCCCCCCCCCCCCCCCCCAAGCCCCCCGGTTCCGACGCCTATGATATAAATATGACTAATCTCATCGTCTCAAGCCACGGTCCGGATTCCGCATATAGCTCTCTCCTACCCGTGGCTGCTTGATCACAAAAAGTGTCGTAATCTTGAATATTTACGCCTCCCCACTGTGACGTCATATTCAGTCAGTGGCAAGTTTTGTTTCCATTGCAATTGAAATCAACAACTGACGTCAACAGATTTCCTTTACTGCGATTGGATATTGAAAGGTCGCGATAAAGTTCATCTTCCGACTATGCTTTACTCGCATTGGTCAATGAGCTACGAAGAATTCTCTCCTAGTTCAACCACGGCCAGAATGGGAGAGGATCGTACATTTTGGCCGTGGTTTGCGACGATGGACTAATCCTAGCTGTGCTGTTTTTGAGAAGAAAATTTAAAAAGATTTTTTCCTATGTAAAACTTAATCTCTCAATGTGTCCCCATCCTACCCCGGGGGTCATGACTTGAATAACCCTGAATCTACACTACCTGCAAATTATTGCATATAAATATGACTAATCTAGGTTTTGCTATTTTTTGAAAGGATATTAAAGATTTTTCCCTATGTATTCATGTGTAAACCTAGGACCCCCATAGTGGCCCCACCTTACCCCAGGGGGCATGATTTGAAGAAATCTTAATGCACAATACCTGACAGTGATTCCACATCAGGTTTATGATTTCAAGCATAGTGGTTCCTGAGTAGAAAAGTTTTAATTGATACTAGTGTCAATATTTATTTCATAAAAGCTTAATTATCGCCCCTGTAAGAAGGCGTGGCCGAATAGCCCTTCATTTGAACAAACTGGAATTCCTTTTGCCAAAGATTACTTTTGGGAAGTTTTTTTTTTACCTCGGCCCAGTGGTTCTAAAGAAGAAAATGAAATTGTGAAATGTTAACAACAACCACAGACAACGAAGAAATTTCTATCATAAAAGCTCCCTTGAGCCTTCGGCTCATGTTAGCTTAAAAGGATAACCTTAGACAAACTGACACAATACAAGAAGCTAAGGGTTCTACATTAAAACACTGTATGTCACTGATGGGAAATTTAATTGCCAAATTTTTGAGAAGCAGTCAAACGAAAAATTAATGCGCGCAGTGTTGAAGATATGAAGCTCTTTTACTCTGTGCCATTGTAGTCTATTGTATTTACGGTTGGATTATTGATTTCTTCATTTTTGGGGGGATTTCGATAGAAAAAATCCCCATAAGATTCCTCAAATCCACGTCTTGTCGTATTAATTTGCAAAAACCCAAAAACTTTAAAGACATTTTTGTTCAAAATACTATATGCTGCGAAAAATAATATTAATATGGCTTTAATACACAGGTATTATAGCCATATCATAAATCCAGGGGGTGTCCGTTCGTAATTTGTCGGTTGATAAAGCTTCTTCTTACAAACATGTATCTTGAAAATCTTCATATAATACTCACGAGTGCTAGTGGACTGGACCCCCCCCCCCCAACCCCGACTCAAAGTTATTTTTTAATTTCACTGTAAAAGCTTAAAGCTTCTCTAGATATTGCTCGAAACAAAAGTGTATCAGACGGACAGAATTATAAGACGAACGGGCTTACCAAATATAATATCCCCAACGTTCGGGGGAGGGGTGGGGAGGGGTGGGGGTGGGGTCGGATCAAAAATGGAATTTTCGTGAATTGTGTTTTTGACATAATTTTAAGATATATGAGAGCAAGTTCCATATTAGGATTGCCATCATAGGACCTATGCCCCCCCCCTCCCCCAACCTCTGGAATAGATATAAATCCGGGTCCAAGGATATTTTTTTTTGGCTTTCTTTCATTTATAACATTTACAATTTACAACATACAAAATTGATTCCTGCAGTTAAAAAGTCAGGGGTGATTTAAAAATAAAAAGTGAATTCTATGTACTTTTTGGATTTTCATATGAAATACACTGTAAATATGTACTAGACGGTTACCTTAAAAAAGAAGAGAAATATGAATATTTTGGGACCTGGTATGTATATTATGGGAGGGGGTGGGGAAGTTGTTTGGTCTACAAGCACCTGTGATAAGCATATGTGTGCACATACTTTTGAAGGATGCCATGACAATTGACAACTAAGTGACAACTACATTTTCATATTATTCACACTTTTAAAAGTCCGTATATATTATTGTCGGTATTCTGGAATCAATCCTTTTTTGTTTTACAACAGGATGGTGAATATATATTTTCCCTTACAAATGAAGCAAGTTATAATTTCGGTTATAGTTTTTATATGTATATTGGACCTTCAGTCAAAATAACTCTGTGTGTGCATGGTCAAAAGTATAAAGTGTATCTTCTAATTTTATATTTTGACGAATAATGCATGGTTAACAAACAGTGACTTAGGGAAGCATAACTTTAAGACAAAGAAAAGAACTTTACTAAGAAAAATGCACCACCCTATATAAATGCGTATCTTCAGCCTTTTTCATAATCCACACATATAAACAGATATACATGTACACACGGTCGTATATAGGAACAGGGTTGAGGGGTTGGGCATAAGCCCACCCCCAACCCCATAATGAAGTCGATAAATAAACAATGTAATACCGGTATTATAGAAAACCTAGCTACTGTATACAGTGTACTTGTGCCCCTTCATTAAATAAGATTTCTCATTTTGGCTTCCCAAGGAATTGTTTGGTAGTGACTCTAAACTTTTGGTTGTGCCCCCCCACCCCGCCCCCTACTGAAATTGATTGCTTCGGGCCTGTCATATATATATATATATATATATAAAATAATAATAATAATAAAAGCAGCCCAAATGATTTAGTTAAGATCGCCATTTAAAACATCATCTAAGAAGATACTGTCTACCACGAATGCTCGTTTATTTCTTTGAAGTGATATTTTAATTAATTTAAAAAAGAATCTCTCTCTCTCTCTCTCTCTCTCTCTCTCTCTCTCTCTCTCTCTCTCTCTCTCTCTCTCTCTCTCTCGGATCAATACAAGACACTTTATAAAGCGCACAACCTATTTACTTGATTGCAAGAATTAATTTTTTTTCCTCAAGCTGTAAAAAGTTACCTTTCTTTATATGAACAAGGCGCACACTACGGATAGTTTGTATACGTTTAATCACTGACGCATGACAAACGTGTTTCCCAATCCGTCTAAAGTAATATGGTGTATTTTCTTCTATTTGTTCGCTTTTTTACAATGAAGCGCATTGAAGTGGTAAAATTTTCTGCTTGGATGGAACGTTTTGAGCTATCTTTAGACACGCCCATTTCTTTAGAAAGGAAAAATCGGTCAAATGTTTCCATCGAATACCTGTAAAACAGGTATTACATAAATATTAGCGAATCAATTTGACGGTCTACATAAACACCGTCGGAGTAAGCACTTGTTCGACTGATACATGCGCTATGCTAACTCCAATATACATGATAAAATCATAATTGTGTACAAATTCGTTTCAATGCGTGTTTCACATAAGCCGGTGTAAAGACGAATAATGACCCCCATCGAATAATGACCAGGGGTCATTTTTCGACAGCGAAAAATGACCCCCGGTCATTATTCGACGTAGAAAAATGACCCTTTTGCCCGTAGAAAAAGTGTCACTTCCCTAAAAATTTGCAGAACCCACGTGAAGAAAAATGACCCCCGTAGAAAAATGACCCCCTGTAGATTAAAGCTAAAATTTTAAGGGGGCAAAAAAAAATTAGATAAAGAAGCATATTGGCCAAAATGCTCACCTGAGCTTATTGGGAATAAACTGATGATATGTTGATCTCATAACATTATACAATTATAGCCATATTTTAAGGAAAATGCAATGATTCAGAATCTAAAGGAGTAAAAGATTTATCAAGCCTTAAGGGC